TCTTCTATAAATAGAGGTCATACTCCCACAATAATTTCTAATGTCATTTTGTACTAAACTATTCACTAGAACTCACTAAACCAGAGCTTGAACCTATGTATTTGTGTAAACCCTTCACAATTAATGAGAACTCCTCGACTCCGTGGACGTAGCCAATCTGGGTGAACCACGTACATCCTGTGTTTGCTTCTCTATCTCTATTCATTTACGTACTTATCCTCACTAGTGACCGAAGCAACCAAGCGAAGGTCACAAAACCTGACACTTTCTGTTGTACCAAAGTCTTCGCTGATTTTGTGCATCAACAGTATTGGTTGATGCTTCTACACGTTTGTCACACGTGTGGTTGTTGTCCACAAGTTGCATTCTCCACACTGGTAGCTCAGATTAACAAGCTCAGGGCTCACCACCCTGATTATCTGATCAAATTTATTTGATTGGATAAGTTGGAGAATTTACATCGACATTTACATCGAACAATTTAAATCTCGATGGATATTGCATGTCGGTTGGGTTTTTGAAAGTTGAACATCCAGTCCCATGTTCATACCTAGAACGACCCAGCAGAAGTATTCATTAAACGCCTTCAAATGATTGCGTGGTCGACTGGTCATACGTACCACAGTTCCCGACCTCTGCTTGGGGCCATGCAATATTGCAAGCAACCATGTTGGTCTGCCTGAGGCCCGTCACGACCCAACCTTATAAAGCGCGTGTCAGTTGGTTACCAGATACGAACCCGACATATCGCATCTGCGCGTCTTTGGTTGTGCGGTCTATGTGCCATTTTGCGCCGCCCTTACGTACACAAAAACAAAGGGGTCCTCAAGGAAGGATGGAAATCTATGTCGGTTATGATTCTCCTTCTAATATTCGTTACTGCATAACCTTTGACAGGCGATCTCTTTACCGCTCATTCTGCGAATTGTCACTTTTATGAGACATTCTTCCCGTCGTTAGGGGGAGATAAGCACGTCAACGTTCCTAAAGAACGACGCGAATTATCGTGGACGTCCCCACTATGTCTCATATCGATCCCAATCTAGATCGTCAGAGTTTAACCAGACATTTCCTCTGATCTAGAAAAAGTGACGAGATCACATATACCAGCTGCAAATATGCCTGCAAAGATGTGTACCAAATGTACTTCGGACCTTTATCCTGAAAGTAGGAAAGCCACAATTATGGCCGACCCTCGTACATTGGCGGCTAGCCAATCAATCTATCTTATGCCATAAGCATGGTAGATCACTCGGTTCGAGGATTCACCTCCCCAAAAGAGGAGGAACGTGGCACGAATGAATCCGCCCCTCGATCGCTGTCTCAGACCTTTTCATCTCATGAGATTAAATCCGGATTACTCCCGAGACCTGAAGTTCTTGGTCCAGTATACTAGTTTGGATGAGATATGGAATTGGAATGAGATTATCATAAATGATGTTTCATTTATATGGTACCGACATAAATGAAAAGCGACGTTAACGAACCGCGTTCCGTTGATTAATATCAACGTAGAACTGATTGGTCAACTAAAAGAATCAATCTATGACGAATGAGATGAATGAAATAGTGCAATATGACGCCTTGTGGCGCAAGGTTTCTCTCATACGCCATATGATTCATCGCAGCATTACAAACGTGGTTGTAGTATCTCTGGGATCGTGATATGAACCTACATGGAGTTTCCAAAGGACTTAGATGTACTGATTCAAATAGTTCTAGACCACAAGAACATCTTCTTGATTCTCAAGCGGCCTTCACTTTACGGATGCAGAACTATCCGGGCAGATGTGGTATACGCGTCTAAGTGAATATTTGATCAGTTAGGGATATATGCCCCTGCGTGTATAAAATCCGAAATTGCTAAAGTTGAGAAAATTAACTCGCATATCGGACTATAAGATGAATGATCTTGGGAGAACTTGACATTACCTCGACCTGAAGTTTCGAGCTAGTTTTGATGGTATTCTGGTCCACCACTCAAACTAGACCCAGAAGGTGTTACGTCTGAGTATATCCTGATCATCTATATGCTAGATGCAAATGAGACCTTTACGGAGGGTATGGAGCATAAGGTTCCTTATTGGAACGTGAGGCAGCCATATCTAAGTACCATTGGCGTTTGTTGTACTTAGCTCAAATGCACTAGATCAGACATCTTATGTGCTGATAATCTTTTGGCATAAAGCAGCACTGCGCCTAACACGCCACCACCAAATTTGGTGTTAAAGACGTTTTTCTGTTACTACGGATTTGGGCTTATTCCCTATGCATCTCAGAATAGATCACACCCCCTTGATCTTCGGAATGATGCCTACCTTGTGGGATTCGCTGAATCAGACCATTTATCTGACCGCACAAGGTACGTTCCCGCATGGTTATGTCTTTACCATTAAGGAACACCGCAATATCTTGGAGGTTAACTAGAGAGACCTTTTGTTGCGAAACCTTTGAATCGCTCCAAGACTCACTATGTCTCATCACGTGAGAGATATGGTCGAGAATTCTTGTTGAGCATATTCAAAATCCTTGCGATTTTCAACCATCGTTGAGTCCCAACAACGATCCATGAATACAACGCTGTATGTATCGACCAGATCATGATACATCCAACAAAGTCAACACCAAGCATATTGTGTCTACATCAGCATGAGCATCAGAAGATTGAAGTCAAGCAGTCCAATCCTAGACAACCTTACCGATATCTACACAAAGTCACTACCAAAGTCTACCTTCCAGAAGCTTGTCCAATGAATTGGTATGCGTAACTTTCTCATTTGCAATGCTTGTAGTTTCATTTGGAAGTTTTGTCAAACTCAGGGGGAGTATCTAGAAGTATACTCACTTGATCTTAATGTACTCTTTTTCCCTACGATTAGGAGCATTTTTCCCACTGGGTTTTTGCTACCTAACTAGGTTTTAACGAGGCACCCATCCTGGGCTGATCATACCCTTGTGAGCTCTTCTACTTGCGTCCAGAAGACGTATAGTTTTGACTTAATGCAACTTCTCACTTTTCTCCTTAGCCTATGGGCTTTTCTCCCACCTTGGGTTTTGCCATAGTAAGGTTTTGTGAGTTTTACCACTCCTGCATTCTTCCGTCTTTTGAGACTCGTATTCGCTACTTGTGCCGACCAAACGAGACGATTTCATCCACTACTTCTACATTTGCCTGAAGATCTGATGCGCCATCTACTTGAGTATTTGCACACTCAAGGGGGAGTGTTGTGACATATGTTCTTATCAATATGTGATTGTGTAAATCCTAAGTAGAGATAAAATAGGAATCCTTTGGGATCTAGAAGATCTTTCCTAATATACTTTGTATTACTTGGAGAGCAAGTTTCTCTCCTCCTAATTACTATAAATAAAGGCACAAGGACTGGGGAATTAACACACAATTCCTCAAACCTATTCTCCATTCTCTCTTCTTCTCTTTGCCGCACCTATCTATTAAATATAGGCCACAACATATGACATATTTTATCACCTTTTTTTATGAGAGATTTTTTAGTGTGCTGAAAACACAATTCGAAAAAGAAAAAAAATCCAACCACTTATATGATGACACTTGATGTACCGAGTTGTATTCCGGCACATTGAAAAGTTGTCGTCTCCTAGTTCAGATATACTGCTCTTTATTTTAAACACATCTTTGTATTCATTAAAAGACAAAAAGACATGCTAATATTTTGGTCCCAGTATGCAAGAACCATACCATACCATATACTTAGAAATATCAAGCATCCCGCTGGAAATCAACGGTAAGGCAAATATTATCAACGAAACAAGAGAAGGAATTGCACAATTCATTTGGTGATTAGGCGAACTAACAACAAAAAAATATAAAAAATAACGAGTCAATAATTTAAACATTGAATTAAATGATCCTTACGAAGATGTGGGTTGTTGAAGGGTTGGATCATCACTTTCCTTATTTTTGGTGGATTAGTGAGTCTTAGAAGCTAAACAAGACGTTGGAATTAAATTTAGAGGAAGAATTAATATACCTGTCCGCTGTGGTTTTAAGATTCCGGCCACACAAATCTGCAGAAGCCTTAAGATCCTTGTCCACTGCTCGACCTCATCTGGATCTTCATCCCTTTCATACTAACAAAGTTAAAAAAAATAAGGTAAAGTGAGACACATAATAAAAGTTTAGGTGGTAAAGTGAACAAATCAGCATATAGAGTAAAGTAAAATTTTGTGTACATAAGTGTCATAGAAATGCCTTTAATATTTTGTACATATAGAAAATAAATAGAGTTAATTACATTGCCCTGAATTTGTCATTTATCATCATTTTCATTCTTAAACATTTTATTTGTTTTATATGATCTTCAAACTCGCTATCGCATGACTTTGTTTTTTATATCCTTTTCATTGACTTCATCTATTTTTCTGTTAGGTAGAGGTGATAAATTTAAAATTCATCCCACAACCTAAAATATGGGAAAAAGGAGGTGGATGTACAAAATTCTTGCTATGCCCTCTATATTTAAGAGAAAAATTAATTTTTTTTGGTCAAAAAATAGATTTTGTTAAATTAGCCACCGACGAGGTTCAAACTCACATCGTCATGTAAGAGCTTAACTTCTTTCCACCACTATAGTAAAGGACCACTTGCAACAAAAAAATAAATTGAGTTAACAGATATAATTGAATTACCACATGAGAGAGTTTGAGAACCACAATAAGAAAAAAAAAAAAAAAAACTATTCTAGAACGAAAGTAAAATTCTTGACAACGATGTTGTATATCTGAAAAATAGTTCAAGCAGATTAAGATGTTAGCACATAGTCATTTATCTCGTTTATTGAACAAAAAACGAGGACATCAATGCCCTTTTTTTCTCTTTTGAAATTTATAAACAACAAAATTGAGATTTATTTCACGAAAATTACCATAAATTTTGACAAAATTGACGATTGAATTATAAGTCCAGCAGGCAAATCAAAAATAATCACAAGCTTAGAACACACCACATCAACATTTAGCAAGCAGTCTCATAAGAGATCCCAATCAAGATAAAACCATTCAATAGTTTATTACATTTCGTTCATTTAAGAGCATGGTTCCGAGGATTATTTAATTGAAGTTATACCATCTTTCTACAAAGAAAAAATGAAAAAGAAAATAAAGCATTGACACCCGTGGCAAAACCCGACATGGATTAGAGTACGCTTCAGCGTGACCTTCTGTAAAAGCTATAGGCCACAACCACTATTGCCACTGCTCCAACCACAGCAGCAGCTGCGAGAACATTGCTTTGCTTCCAGTTCCCAATCAAGCTTGACAGCTTCCGTAAGGCATCCTTTATGGCACACGACCCTCTGGTTTCTTTCGGCTTTTTTTCCTCACTTCCACCGTTCTCTTCCAAACTTACTTCTTCGCAACATGTAAATCCATCACTATTAGCACCTTGGCAACAGCCTGAAAAGTTCTCATTATTCTCAATCTGATTGCCCTTTTCTTGGTGAATCTGATTCCTTTCTTGTGGCTTCTCCTCGATTTTCTTATTTTCTTCTCCATTTGGAAGCTCCCGGTCATTAATTTCTTCAGCTTTATCAGAAGATGCTCCCATTTGGCCCCTGTAAGGAATGAAATTGAATTTCATGTTAAGCTATTTAAAGATTCAACTCTAAGTTTCGTCAATAACAATTGAGCAAGAACATGTATGATCAAGCTTAATAAACAAATCACAACAACATTACAAACCAGAAACATATACAGGGTAATGCAATTATATCCAATTATTTTGTGTTTTCTCCACAAAAGTTCCTCGATGTTAATGTAACTCTATATCAATTAATCTATCATACAAGATCAGACATAATCAACAATTGAAAAATACGACAACACAAGCTTCCGTCCAATGAAATTTTCATCCAAAGATAGTAGGCAAAACCAAAAACGTACAAACCTCCAATGTCGTTCTATAATCTCTCCCTTCCCAATATGCTTATCAAGCAATTGCGACACGGCAGAAAAGGTGACGAAGGGATACCTGCAATTAATAATACATAATATTCAAACTCCTTCATCGCTCCCAATACGATAAATTTTAAACTGTTATGATCCGGATATTACCAATGGCATGTCATGCTTCCATCTGAATCTGGGTTGTAGATCCTGAGTTCTCTAGCATACTTGCGGCCTCCAATTTGAAAGCAAGCAGTAACAAATACCTGATCTGTCAATCCTCGCAGCTTAGTCTCATGTTTGAAATTATAAATGAGAATACCTGCGACCAAACGTGCGGAAAAAAGATTGTCACTAATATGTGCGCATATAAATACACGGGGGCCAGTCAACGGCTCTTGCACTCCGAAAGCCCATGGTTTGTCATTCACAAGGACATCATCAACAAAGCTATCCACATCCGACTCTTTCAAGCCCCTGTGATCAACAAACAAAAACAACTCCAAAATTACAAAAAGGAATTTACAGGAAACAATAACCTAAAACTCTTTAATTTCTTGTAAGGCAAGGAATTAGTCGTAAACTGAGCTATTAAATTCAATTTTTAGAACTAATTTCAGAAGCTAACACGTATCTAATTATCTATTAATTTCTAGAACTAATTTTAGAAGCTAACATATATCTAATTATCTATTTAGTTCAAGAGATTGTGCAGAGAAGCAGAGGGTGACATCGGATAAGGATTGTCTGCACTCCACTTCCGGTGCCCTCCTGTTTTGTGTGGTCACGGTTAAGCCACGTCAACATTTTATATTTTTTTATAGATATAATAAGACAAAAATGAATAGTAATATAAAATGTTGACGTGGCTTAACCGTGACCATACAAATAGGAGGGCACCAGAAGTGGAGGGCAGACAATCCTTGTCCGGTGACATCAAGTTTAGGGTTTGCACAATGAGAGACAAGAGGGTTGATGGCAAGGGTTGGGGGTGGACAGAGGGTTGATGGGAAGGGTAGGAGCTAGAGAGGGGGGGTGGGTTCTGTCCACTAACGTTGGTTGCAGATAGAGAGAGAGGGTAGGGTTGAGGGGAACGGGTATAGAGAGAGATTGAGGGAGTAAGGGATAGGGGCTAGAGGTATGGGTTGATTTGTCCGGGTCTGCTGCATCCTTACTATTCAAAAGGTAACAAATTATTTTCAATTCATTCTTTACTGTTGGGAATTTACCGTTCGGCAAATGAGTCGAGGAGGACATCATAACAATAGGAGGCTAAAAAGGCTACTACATGATTCTCTTAAGGCTTTTCTCTTTCGTTTCAAGATTTGGATGAAATAGATAAAAAAAAACAATGCATGCACACTAGGTTTTGTTCTAAGTTTTTTATTGACTTTCAGAACTTTCCTCTCTGGTTTTCTGATTATTTTTTCAATTGAGATTATTTCTTACCAATTTCCTTTGAGATTTGTGCGTGTGTATTTGTTAATGTTCTGTTTCTTCGTTTTTAGAGGACATGGAATTGCTCTCTTCCTTTTTTTGGCAACCACGTATGCCCTCTCTCTCAAATTCCTTCATTAGGGGTCTAAGGTGATGTCTTTTTGCCTAAAATATAATTTTGTTAAACGACTTATGATATTTTGATTCTCTGCAAATTCTGCATAGTTCAAAAAGCAAAATCTCTCTCTATCTCTCTTTCTCTTTCTCTTTCTCTCTTGCTTTTTGTGGCTAAAGATCATGTCTTTTGTGTCATAAATTTGTTTTTGTTACATGGGATTCTGTATATCTTTTGGATAATCAAAAAGCTTGAATCTTTACTAGGTTTCTTTAAATTTCTTTGAATTCTACTTTGTGATTTTGGTTTAGAAATGTGTAGAATTACATTTAAGAGGATCATGAGGAACAGAAGCACAAATCAGTTCTCAGGCATTCCATACGTAATGTCAATGCTTAACTGCCTACCCTCCACTTGGTATGCTGCTTTGTTTCTCACTCCTTCAACTGCTCTCTCTCTCTCCCTTCTCTGTTGTGTACTGCCTAATTAGTTATTTACATTTGTTTATTTATCTTTGTAAAGCTTTCATGCTTGGATTTTAAATGTATGATTCAATTAGAAACCTTTATAATGTTGATGTTATAGAACATTCAACAGATATATATTCAACATTAGGTAGCTCGGGCAAAATCATAGAGACTAAGATTTGGTAGTATATGGAGGTGAGAGTGAATCTGCCTTGCTTGCCATGATATAGGCTTGCAATGATGGCTTCCTCTTTGTAGTACTACATTCTACTCTTACATGTTGACATCAGAAAGCAAACTAAGATAGATCCAAACCCACTCTTATTAATTAAAGTTAACGGAAAGAAAATGATTTATGCATACCTTTGTTTATTTGTCACTTGATTTTGGTTTAGGTTGACCATAGCTAAAACATCCAAGACTCACCTAACACCTAATATGATGACGACCCTATCCTTTTTAGCCTTTATGTGTGTGTTTGCTACCTAGCTGGGTCGTGGGTGAGTCTTGGATGTTATCTTGGAGGACAAGGATTGTCTGTCCTCCACTTCCGGTGCCTTTCTATTTTGTGTGGTCACGGTTAAACCACGTCAACATTTTATATTATTTTTTTTTATAGATATAATAAGACAAAAATGAATAGTAATATAAAATGTTGACGTGCCTTAACCGTGACCACACAAACAGGAAGGCAAGGGCACCGAAAGTGGAGGGCAGACAATCCTTGTCCTATCTTCGATGTCTTGATTACCTTGGTGGGCGAGTCTTGGATGTTTTGGTTCTGTCTTCTTCGACTCTTATATCTTCCCTTTTTCTGAATTTTCTTTATTTCTCATCCCTTAAACTTTGTATTTTTTTAAAAATATTTTTCTTTTTCGTGATGTAGATAGATGAACATGTTCAAAGGGAAATAATGAAATGGAATCCATCTCGATTTTCCCTTAGTTTCAGATGGAGAAAGTTAGGTCTAAAGCATTTTTACATAAACAGTCAGTCATAATATAACTACAACTTACGTACTTTTTCGATTTAATTGTTGTTTTGCATCAGACAAGGTTTTACTTCCAGCAGCTGATATCAGGAGTTAGTTGCTGTCATTTGATGGTATGTAATGTGACACTTTTCTGCCAATGCGTCGTATATTGTTATTTCTTTATCTTTTGATTTGGAAGTGGTGGTTGTAGTAAGGAAATAATTCGTTTCAATAGTATACGACTTAGTTTCAATAGTATATGACTCAATTTTTTAATAGCACTCGAGCGTTTTTCGAATAACGGTATTACGACTTAGTTTTCTAAATGCCAATAACAGCTCTAGATTTTGTCTCAAGTGGAGTATTCTTACTAATGTAGCATTTTGTTAGCACCTTAGTATGTTTTGATTGTTTCTCTGCTTGAACAGAGAATTGTTAACGTCTGGCTCACGTTTTAGTCTCTCCGTCGTAAGCAATTTTGCATGGCATTCTTCAATGTAGCTATAGGTAAGACAACACTCTCAGTACTCCATAATCAAACCACCATATGAACTTTTTTCATCCACCAAGTTAAGCTTTTATGTGCCATGTTGAATAGTTATAAGTTATTGCTTCAGATTACTCCAGTGCGACATTGTTGTTCTCTTCCTTACCTCTCAAGCTTGCTTGATATACTTATTCTTATTACTGTTTTATTGTTAAGAAATACTCAACTACGGTTTCAGTTCATCGTTATAAATCGGATTAAAATTAACCACTGGTTAATTATCTAAATCCTATAAATTCGGATGAAAATTAAAGCAACTACAAAACAAAAATCTCAAGAAATCAATGCGAATTTACCTATATTTGATCATTTGTGGGAAAATCAACACATCCCCGTCGGAAAACTCAGTTCCTTCGTGTCCTTCAATTACTGATAGCAACGTCTATCAAAAACCAAGAAAAAAGTGAGTAACGGAGTCAACTCAGCTCAACACCAGAACTCAGTAGCTCCAGAAAATAAGAAACGGTAAGAAAAAGCAATCAAAAATGCCGACGAATTGAGCTGGAAAATAGACCTTAACGGTGATGTCGTTCTTGCGAGCTTTGAGAGCAGATGCGAAGAACCTAGTGAGTGGATCGAACTCAGGGCCTTTGTTGCGCCATGGCCAGGCCTCTGGGGTCTTGTAGCAGAGGAAAACGTGGCAATAGCTCAATAGTGTATCGGCATCAGTGCCTACATCAGACACTCTTGACCTAGCACCGTCTTCAATAGACTTATATGGCTTAGTCACATAGGTGTCCCAATTAGTACCACTATCAGACAAATCCCACTTTACAATATCTACTCCTGTTTTGTTCACCTCAATTCTTTTATCTCCATAAAATTTTGCTCCTACAAGAACCATGTCGCCGCCTTTCAGATTGAGCTTCTTGTTTGAAATATTTCCCAACCAAAGATGATCTTCATGGGAAGCAGTTACGGTGGCCTTCATTGCCCAGATGCGAAATCTAGTTCGCTGGGCAAGATTAACAACATCAATGGATAGAAACCCAGTAGAATCGTCGTTTTCGAAGAATAAACGATGCCCAAAGCCAACCCTCTTATATAATCATTACTTTGCGGCACTACAAATTGGACAATTTCATCCTCTCTCGCGACGTAGGCTAACCGGTGAGGAATATCATTTCCAGAGAGAAAAATTCCACCAAATGCATTTTTCTACACAATGGGGTGCAAAGTTAGTATAAGCAACAATACAAAAAGCAGAGAGAGATAGAGAGTACCATACCGTTTGGAGGTTCTCCTTAAAAGTACCAGTGAGACTGGTACACCCTTCCATATGAATTGAAACCATGTAGTCCAATGAGTTCTCCAAGTTTGGAATATCTTTGAGTTTGCGGCATTCTTTCAGTTCCAATTTCCTCATTTTCGACATCTCTGAAAAGTCGGACATTATTTCCAGTGCAGTGCAGTTATTCGCTTCCAATTCAATCAAACTGTTCGGCAAATCTGGGATTGCCTGAAGGTTTGTGCAATGATTTAGACGTAAAAACTGAAGCTGAGAAAGGCCACTGAGAATGGGTAGCCTATTAAAACCATTCCCACTTAGATATAAAGCTCTTAAAGAAGATAGACTCCCAATTATTTCGAGAACGGCACCATCTGTTATATTGCAGTTGCTGAGATTTAATGCCTGAATCATCTTCAGTTGTGCTAAAAAATGGTAAGCCCCACACAAACCCTTACAGCCACCGAGGTTCAATACCTCGAGAAGTGGGAGTTTTGAAAAGTCTGGTAATTTAGTCAAGTTATGGCAGCCTCCAAGAATGAGATACTTCAACTTCTTAGGCAACTGTTACTCAAAAAGAGAAAACAATAATAAAAATCCAAATGAATAAAGGAGAGAATGTATGATGATGACTGATGTTGATATTTACAAGGACATTGATAATTATATCGTACCAGGTTCGAATCCTCCCAAACTCGTACAATCTTGCTGCTGGTCAGTTGCATAAAAACTAGGTTTCGTTGATCAAAATCTGCTGGTATGGCTTTAAGAGGAAATCCATCCCAATACAACAATCTTAACTCCTTGGAAAGATGTTTGTAGCTTCCAGTCAACTTTACATTTTCCAGCTTGAGAAATTTCAGACGCCACATCTTCTTAAACGCTTCGTACTGAAGCTTTGCTCGTCATCAGAATCTTTTGGCAAAAATAAGGTTAGGCCTTCAACTGCTTCTGTTCCCTGTTACAGATAAAAAAAAAGGATAATATTCACACAAAGCAGAGCCGTGAATTGGATGAATGAACTACTAGAAAGGTAGGACATACAACATAATTATGTATTTTCTCTTTCAATTTACAGTGGATGAAAGCCTTTTCTTTTCTTCTTTTTCTTCAAATATACTATGCACGTCATACATTATATATATGCGGATATGCGTATATACTCTTTCTTTACATGTACTTAACAAAAAAAAAATTTATTGCAAAAGTACTTACCAATTTGTTCCTAAGCACGGTTTTTGCATCTTCACTATGCCACAATCGACTACGTTTTCCCAATTCCACAGAAGATTCTGCCCGCAAAATTTCTCTTCCCATATCTCGAATCAAATCATGCATCCTCAAATTTTTCTCTACATCAATATATAAGAGACATCGTTCGCAAAGTGTGGTAATTTCTGCTTCTACAGAAAAACGACTACAACCATCCAATATTGCCGTGACAAGAAGTTTACCCCATCCAAGAAAGAAACAAGATATGTCAAGGAACACACCCTTCACATGATCATCACGTAGCCCATCGTAGCTTAATTTAAGCGTTTCATGAATTTTTCTATCAGGAATATTTTTCAATTTTCCAATGTACTTTTCCATATGCTTTTACTCTTTTTCGTAGCCAACAAACGGCCAACAACTTCAAGAGCTAGAGGCAGTCCTCCACAATAATCAACAACATCTCTTGCGAGCTCAATATATTCTTCGTCGGGACGAGGATTTCCAAAGGCATGCCAACTAAGGAGCTCAAAAGCTTCGTCATTAGTCATTCCTTGTGCTTTATATCTTTTATCCACCTTTTGTATATTCAACACATGTTCATCTCTTGTTGTTATAATAATCCTACTTCCGGGACCAAACGAGACATGTGATATCGCCAATTTATCTAATTGGTCCGCATCATCTATGTCATCAACCACGACAAGTACCTTCATGCTTCCAAGTCTTTTCTCTATCTCCTTGGTTCCTTCAGCAACACTGCTTACCTTAATGTCATGCCGTTTCAAAAGATCTCGAAGAAGTTGTTCTTGCAGACTAACCATATTTTTCTTGTTACTCCTCACCTCTTCAAGGTAACATTGATTGCTGAAACTATGACCATATTTACTACAAATCTCTTTGGCAAGCGTTGTTTTACCTATACCGCCTGTACCCCAAATTCCAATTATTTGAACATCAGGTGAACCCACAATGTCTAAGTATTTAGTGTTGAATTCTTGCATGCGAAAAGCTATTCCAACTGAGTGTTTGGCTTCTTTTAAGTCTGTGGGTTTCAATAGTCCCTTGATGTCCCCAATAATTTTCTCGATAAACACTCCTTCACGGCTACAAGTAGAAATTCCAAATTACGAGAGCCATACTAGATGCCTTATTCATCATGACTATATATTTACGTATTGAAACAGGTTTGAATAAATTGTGATTTACTGAGCTCAATTCAACCACGTATTTATTCTTCAATTATAACATGAATACATTAGGTCACTGGTCATTGGACTATTACACAATTGTAGCTTTCAATTATATAATTAAGAATCCATTACAATTGGTATTTTAATTTGATAAAGTGTGGAGCATTTGTTCTTCACACACCCATAAAAAACGAAGCATGTACCCTCCGTTTCACTTCCTTAATTTTGACAGAAATTCATATGCAAATGCTCTACCTTTTATAAAATTCATATACCAATTGTAATAAATTTTTATGTAGTGACCAAAATTACACTTCTATCATAGTTCAGGGACCAATGATCCAATTTTTCTTCTCTAACATATAAATCAGATTCAATGCCTTACTTACAATATCTTAATTTTGGTTGATTAGTGAAACATAGTGATATGAAATTTAGGAAACTAGATTTTAATCCCTAAATAAAATGAAATTTAGAAAAATGTCTTATACAAGCTTAAAATTTGATTTTAGTCCCTTGACTCTATTTATGTATTCAATGTCTCTTTTTTTATTTATAATTTTATGAATTTAAATTTTATGAAAATATTATAAATTTTAATTTTCATTATGGTAAGCATCTTATATAAGAAAATATTTTCGTAGAGATTTTTTGGTACACTTATGTTTTTGCATATTTTCTTATCTGCCATTAATTCATTACAATATATTTAGGTACGAACATTTCGATTGGTTTCGATTGGGTTAGTATAATATGTTTAGGTATAGATATTTCGGTACACTAGTATAGTATAATATATTTAGGTACCGATATTTCAATACACTAGTTTCGTATCATATAGTTAGGTACGGAATTTTCGGTAAACTTATGTTTTTACATATTTTCTTATGTGTCACTAATTCACTATATATATTTATGTACGGACATTTCGGTACACTAATTTAGTAAAATATATTATGATACAGACGTTTAGGTACACTAATTAGAGAAAGTTAAATAAAATTAGTGAATTAAAATGTTTATAATAACAAATATAAAATTTAAAGTAATAACATTAAATAAGTTATCTATTAAATATAAAATTAAAAATATAATATGAATTTGAATTAATTACACATTAAGGGACTAAAATCAATATTCAATCTAACACTAGCTTTTTATTAAATTTTAATCTTCTTGAAGGATTAAAGTACAAAAATCCCTATGAAATTTGATGAAACATGGTGATATGAAATTTGAAGTAAACAAAAAAGTATACCCGTCGGCCGTGGTTTTGAGATTCCAGCCGCCCAAATCTGCAGAAGCCTTCAGATCCTCTCTCCACTGCTTGACCTCATTTGGATCTTCAGTCGTTTCATGCTTCTGAAATGCTTCCCCAAAACTATCTTCCTGTTTCCTGACTTGAGAAGGGTCAACGTCGTAGAATATTGGACAGACGATTTTCCCCTCTTGATCTTTTAGGCACCTCATGATCTTTGACAGCTCCCTCAGGCACCACCGGGACTCCGCGTACTCCTTCGAGAAGACGATGACAGCGATTCTCGACCCTTCGATTTCTTGGTCAAGTTCACTCTGTATGTTTTCCCCCCTTGTGAGCTGGTTGTCTATAAACGTGTTAATTCCAGCATTGCGTAACGCAATGAAGAGGTGGTCTGTGAAAGTGTTGCGGGTGTCTTCGCCTCTAAAGCTCAGGAACACCTCGTACTTCCAGCGGTTTGAGCTCTGCGAAGAAGACGAAGAGGCGGCAGAGCCAGCTCCATGGGCGGAGCTGCTGGTATCCATTGCAGCTTGTAGAAGTGCAGCTTGGCTTTCAAAAAACCAGAGTCAAGTCTTTCCCAACATTCCCCAGTGAAGGTGGCCCCTTTAAATATTTAGCATGGGCCAATGATGTCACTGCCGTGTCGATAACGCGTGAGTGCTATTCCCCCACAGTTTGATATGTATAAATGTACCATCAAATTTAAAAATTGTATAACTGCTTACGATGCAATTTCCATTTTTTTTGTTGTAGTCTTTAGAGAAATCTGCCGCCCAACTTTGACCAGATGACGACCTTATTGTATTTTAAGGGTGGTGCGCAGGTCGGTCCAACTGCCCCTGCTGGTGGACAGAAGAATCTTCGTTGGAGACAGCCTAGAGAGTATCAATGGGAAAAGACCTCATCTCCAACAACCTATCTTAACAAAAGATGCAGAAAATTAAACTCCAACCGGCCAACTAAATGACTATCTATCTTTATTTTGTAAACAGTAATTAACTAAATTTAGCTAGAGGAGACATTTGTAGCTAACGTCAAAAGGATCAATGTCGTAAAATAAGTAATTTACTTGCATAAAGCAAGGATCAATTTAGCTGTGAAAGCAAGGCGATGATCGAGCTCACGATGGCAGCTTTTTTGATCCTATCGTCTTGCAAGGGAAACAAGCTACCAATTGCATCACACGGAGGCATCCAACTAATAGTTGAATTTCTCGATCAAGATTATGCTGGAGGCATCGGTGTGCAAGCGAAACTCAACAGCATAGCCACACTACACAACCTCTCAACCTGCCATCAGACTACGTCTCTTCGGGCGTAGTGTTATAGTTGTTACAAATAATTCACGGGTTGGAAAAATCAAGCCAACTAGTTGAGAAGGCAATTGCGCTACTTGACGACATTGTTTCTTCATCGAAGACTGCGCTAAAGGAAACTGCGGGTACGTGCGACATAATCTGGGCACTTGTTGAGACAATTGAAGAGGGATCGACGAAATGCAAGGAGCACACAGTATCTTCCGGCTTATATGCCACAGCTGCAGAGAGAAGTACAGAGGACTGATACTGAGAGAAGGAGCAATGCCCGGACTGCTTCAGCTGAGCATGGATGGGACGTGGACGGCTAAGGCCACGGCACAGGAGTTGCTGTTTCTCTTGAAAGACTGTTCCAATTACGGTTCGAGAAACAAGCAGTCGAGGAATAAGGATATAGAGCAGATTATGTTAGTTTATAAGTGTATTTGCTGAAATGTAATAAGAAGTCAGTTAAATATCAGCCCTTGGATCATAGTCCAAGTGTGCAGCTAAGATGTAATCTTAGACTAAGTAATTCCTGCCCTTGCTACATGTGCTAAGTGTGTGCGAATGAATGAAATGCAGAGACCTTTCTTCTACCTCAAGCTTAACTCTTTCTCTAAAAAACTCTCATTCTCCTCTTCTTCAGTACTCATAGATTGATTGGAACTTACATACAAGATTACAGTCTGTATGCTAACCTGGCCTCAGAGCCTAGTTTGATCAATTGATACTGGGCGTTTGGATCTGTGAAGAGTGTTACCCAGAAATCGAGTCGATTGTGATCTGAGTCTAACATGGCAGGATCGGGTAGTAGTGAGGTGAGAACACCGATTTTCAAAGGTGATAATTATGAGTTCTGGAGTATTAAGATGAAAACGATTTTCAAATCTCACGGACTGTGGGATCTGGTTGAGAAAGGTTTCGAGAGTTCAGATTCGAAGGATGATGGTGAATCTGATGGAAAGAAGAAAGAAAAGGAGGAATCGAGCAGTATTGAGAAGCTACCTCTAGCTGAGAGACTGATGAAAGATGCTAAAGCTCTGGGTCTGATTCAAGGAGCTGTTTCAGATGAAATATTTCCCAGAATCTCTTATGAAGAAACTTCAAAAGGCGCATGGGATACTTTGCAACAAGAGTATCATGGTGATAAACAGGTTAGAAATGTTAAATTGCAAGGTCTTCGTAGGGAATTTGAATATACAAGAATGCGAGATGATGAATCACTTTCTGTCTATCTTACAAAATTATTTGATCTGATAAATCAAATGCGGAGTTATGGAGAGGAGTTATCTCGAGAGAGGATTGTTCAAAAGTTATTGATTAGTTTGCCATCAGCTTATGATTCTATATGCTCTGTTATTGAACATTTGAAGGATTTGGATGTGATTGAGGTACAAGAAGTTGTAGCTTCCTTGAAGAGTTTTGAGCTACGTCTAGATAGACATTCTGAGCACAAAACTGAGAAAGCATTTGCTAGTCTCAATGTGAATCCTAAACCAGCCAAATTCACTGGAAATCAAAGTGCAAGGTACCATAAGAATTGGAAAGAAAAAGGGAAGAGGTGGGATAACAAACCCACTGATGGTGCTAGAAATCCTTGTAAACATTGTGATAAGCTACATTTTGGTGAGTGCCGATTCAAGGGTAAACCAAAGTGTTATAACTGTGATAAATTTGGTCATATTGCAAGGGATTGTAATAGCAAGAAACCAGTGCAACAGGTCAATTATGCAAATAAGGTAGAATCTACACCCACCATGTTTTATGCTAGTAATCAAACTAATACTAGTGTAAAGGACTGTGATGATGTATGGTATGTAGATAGTGGGTGTAGTAATCATATGACTGGAAGGGAGGATTTACTTGTGGATATTGATAAGAATGTAACTGCAAAAGTTGAAATGGGTACTGGACAGCTTGTTGATGTAACTGGTAAAGGGAGTCTTGTAGTTGAAACTAAACTAGGCAAGAGATATATCAAGGAGGTTATGCTTGTGCCTGGACTGAAAGAAAATTTGCTCAGTGTGGGTCAAATGATGGAGCACGGTTATTATTTGGTGTTTGGAGGTCACAAGGTGGAAATCTATGATGATAGCTCATATTCCAACATGGTTGCTAAAGTTCCAATGAAGGGAAATCGAAGTTTTCCAATGAAATTACAGACTGGAATACATATTGCTTTCAAGGCAAATGTATGTGCTTCTACTACTATGTGGCATAAAAGGTTGGGACACCTAAACATGAGCAGTTTGAAATTGATGCAGGAACAAGAAATGGTAGTAGGATTGCCAGAAATCAAAGTAGTTAAAGGAGTATGTGAAGGTTGTGTTCTCGGTAAACAATGTAGAGAAGCATTTCCAAGGGAAGCTACTACTAGAGCATCAATTCCTCTAGAGCTTGTGCATAGTGACATTTGTGGCCCGATGCAGACAACTACAAAAGCTGGAAATAGATATTTTCTCACTTTCATAGATTACTGCACCAGGATGTGTTGGATTTATTTTTTGAGGCATAAATCTGAAGTTCTTAGTGTGTTTAAAAAGTTCAAAGCCACTGTGGAGTTGCAGAGTGGTTATAATCTAAAGCAACTTAGGAGTGGTCGAGGAGGTGAATACACTTCAATGGAGTTTAACAAGTTTGTTGAAGATGTAGGCATGGAAAGACAACTTACCACTTCATACACACCACAGCAAAACGGTGTGGCAGAGCGAAAGAACAGAACCATTGTGGAAATGGCTAAGTGTCTCATGTTGGAGAAGGATATCCCACTTGAATTTTGGGCTGAGGCAGTTAATACCTCAGTGTATATCTTGAATAGATGTCCAACCAAAGCCTTACATAGGAAGACACCTTTCGAAGCTTACAGTGGAAGAAAACCAGGAATTAAGCATCTAAAGGTGTTTGGTTCTTTGTGTTATGCTCATGTGCCAAGTCAACAGAAACAAAAACTCGATTTGGCAAGCAAGAGGTGTATTTTCTTGGGTTATGGTAGTTGTGAGAAGGGATATAAACTCTATAACATTGAATCTGGAAAGGTGATTATTTCCAGAGATGTTGTGTTTAATGAAGAAGCATGTTGGGACTGGAATGCACATAAGGAAATAAGGGAGAGTATCCAGATTATTAAGATGTCTGAAGGAGAACAAAACTGTGAAGGAGGTGATTGTGATCCTGAAACCCAATGTGAAGTCAGTGAAGAGAATGTTGGGCAAAACTTGGTTACTGAGTTCTCTGATCAAGAAAGAATGACAGGTCAACAGGATTTTGATCACACTCCTCTCAAGTACAGAAACATTGCAGAAATATATGAGAAGTGTAATCTGTGCATTATAGAACCCGAATGTTTTGAAGAAGCTGCCAAGGATGAATCATGGCAGAAGGCTATGGAAGATGAAATCTCTATGATTGAGAAGAATCATACTTGGGATCTTGTTGATAGACCATTTGATAAACCAATCATTGGAGTCAAATGGGTTTATAAAACAAAACTAAATCTGGATGGCTCAGTGCAGAAAAACAAAGCACGGTTAGTTGCAAAAGGTTACTCTCAGAAACCTGGAATCGATTTTAATGAAACTTTTGCACCAGTGGCAAGACTTGATACTGTGAGAACTTTGGTGGCCCTTGCTGCACAGAAAGGATGGAAATTATTTCAGTTAGATATAAAGTCTGCATTTCTAAATAGAGTGTTGAATGAAGAGGTGTATGTGGATCAACCATCTGGTTTTGTTATACAGGGCAAGGAAGACAAAGTGTACAGGCTCAGGAAAGCTTTATATGGTTTGAAACAAGCTCCAAGAGCTTGGTATGAAGAAATAAATTCCTATTTTGCAAAGGCTGGATTCCACAGAAGTCCGAGTGAAGCTACTCTTTATATCAAGACATCTCACAGTGGCATTCTCATTGTGTCACTATATGTAGATGATATTATCTACACAGGAAGTTCAAAGGAGATGATAGCTGAGTTCAAAGGTGAGATGATGAGACAATATGAGATGACTAATCTAGGATTACTTCATCATTTCCTTGGTCTTGGGGTATTGCAGACAGATAATTACATCTTCTTGCATCAAAAGAAATATGCAAAGACTTTGCTTGAGAAATTTAGACTTAGGGATTGCAAGCCGGTTGCAACACCATTAGCTATGAATGAAAAACTTACAAAAGTAGATGGAAGTGATCTGGCAGATGAAACTCTATATAGACAAATGGTGGGAAGTTTGCTATATTTGACAGCAACAAGGCCAGATATTATGTTTGCAGCAAGCTTATTGGCTAGGTTTATGCACAATCCTACTAAGAAGCATATGGGGACAGCTAAGAGAGTTCTGAGATACATACAAGGCACT